CCATGCACTCACAGAACTAGCACATTGAAATTAAGACTCACTTCTTGGAGAGATCACCATTCAAAAGATAATTTGCCAACTTGAAATACTTGAACACGATTACCTCAATTAGCTGATATCTTTTACTAAAGCCCCCTGCCTAAAGATAGATTTCTATAGCTTAAGAAGAGAGTTAGGGGTATTAGACATATCTTTAGACTCCATATTTTCAATGGGTCTTTGCACTTTTTCGTAAATCGCGTTAATAATCCGATTATCCTCAGGATGCCTCAATAGTTAAAGCAACATGGAATCCTGTATTCAAAGAGGAAAACATGGAAAGACCATTCGGTTTTGATGGTCCTTAATTATATCATGGAAGACATCGTGGAAGAAGAGGAAAAAAGAAGAAAACGGCATCATGGAAGACTTTCGGTTTGATAATCCTTATACCAGCAACAAATTATCTCAACCCTTCTCAATCACAAAACCACTTGTTAAGAACCATAGGTTACTTCAAGTGCAAATCTTTCATAGGCTTTTCCTTTGTTTGGACCGTGATATGTTAACAACCCATTGTTAACAACATTTTGACAATAAAGGTGTGTAACAATAAACATATAATCATAAATAGTGTAACAATAAACATATAATCAGCTTTTAGATGACAAAAAGAGAAGAAAGATTAAAATTGAGAAAAACTAAAAAAAAATTCACAATTAACCGAAAGGAATAATGTAAAAATAAACATTTTACATTAAAAAAATGTAGTTGCAAAAACTATCAAAGTGCACTAAGCAGTAAAAACAATAGTTTGAGATCATTAGGAATGAATGACTTAGATCAACCCAACTTAATCAAACAAATCAATTTAAACTCATTTTTTTGGATTGGGTATAGAATTATCAAAGGTGAAAATCAAGCTAACCAACCATGTTAATTAATTATTGTGTGGCTATTTTTTGCATTGACCAATATAATGAGGCAAATCAGAAAGACCGAGACAGATATTTTTCATTTACAGTTCCAACACGCTAACATTTATTATGGGAAATTTCTAAGAACTTGAAACTTGATGAAGACCTTTCTTGTAACGTATAATAGGGGTAATGCATATCTTAACTTAGAATAGATATTATACATAGTGTTGATTTTTGAAAGAAAAGAGAGGAAACAAAGATAATTTTCTATAAAGTTTCACTGGTAATCTCTACCAAGCTCTCTGTAACAAGGAAAGTTCACACTTTCATCGATTACGATAAACTTCAAAGCGGGGAGAAAATCACAACAGCACTTCAGAAAGCAATGGAAGAGTATAGGATTGTCATCGTTATGCTTCTTCCTCCATTTGCCTGATGAACGTGCAACCATAATTTAAGAGTAAAATTATAACATTATAAGATTATGAGATTATGAAATTATAAACTTATGAAATTACGAAATTATAAAATTATAAAATTATATGTATGATGGTTATTTTTATGTTTATTTTTGAAAACTATTTTGGTACATTAGGTTGTTATTATTTCTTTTTTGTTTTTTCAGGTTTGTGATGGTTAGTTTAATGGTGTGACCAGATGAATAGATTTCAATTGATCTGGTATAAGGTGAAGGAACTGAAACAACATAGTTATGTTTTGTTCTATCATATATAAACTTTGTTCTTTTGAAAATTTCAACTTTTTGTTACTATATATATATATATATATATATATATATATATATATATATAAAACTTATTATACTCAACATATGCTTTATAGATTACAGTAATATAGTAGTTATATTTCTAACTCACTTCATTGTTAATTTTTATTATTTATATAACTTATTTAATAATTTTACATTATTAAAAATTATTAAAAGAGATGTTACATCACTCAAACAAACAACATATTGAACTTGTTTTTTCTCATAATTGACATGTTCTTCAATCTTCCAGTCATTTTTTTCTTGAAACAATCATTTAACAAAGTAAATTTCTTTTAATTAAAGCAAAGAGGGTATTTGCATTGATACAATCGGTTGAATAATATAATACGGATTACAGATATGCAAAGCTGAACCATAAATCCAGGGTGATCAATAAACATTTTTATGATATAACAATCAGGTCAAATATGGCTGTAAAAAGTTTCATCCACATTTGTAATACCTGACCTCTATTCATAATTTTCATCAGCATCTTAAATCTAATTAAATTACAGCAACACTTCCTTCTTTCTATTTATAAGACCAAATTACCCATCATGGCAAGGAAAAATGGTTCATTATTTGATAGTAACAGATCTGTTTATATATATACTTTATAATAAATTTATACTTTATTATGTGTAAATTTAAACAAATCTGTCAATTATTCTAAATAATTGTGTCGCTATTGTTTACATTGACCAATATAATGAAACAAATGAGAAAGAAGAAGACAGATATTTTCCATTTACCGTCCCAACACGCTAACATTTATTATGGGAAATTTATAAGAACATGAAACTTGACAAAGACCTGTCTAGTAACGTAGAGTAGGGGTTATGCATAGTGTTGAATTTTGAGGGAAAAGAGAGAAAAAAAAAGAGAATTTTCTATAAAGTTCATTCCTGTAATAATTAACACTGATGGATATTTCCAATATGTTTGGTAACATTTTCTTAATCTCATAATTCAGGTTTGATTTTCGAGACCAAACAAGTTATCTACATAACTTTTCTCCTTCCTCACCATTTTTACTCATTTTAGTTTAGGGGACTAAAAACAAATATTGAAATAGCACTTCTGTCTATTAAAATGAGAGAACGAGAATAGAACATGTCTTTTGTTTTTTCTCTCAGCTAATTTAGAAGCCACTTAAACTCGCTTCTCGCTTGTTCAATATAAAACCAATGTTGATTCCTTTTTCATAACATTTTAGAATAAACTCGGTTTTCAAAGGAGATTAATGCTTTTAGAAAAAATAATTTTTTATTTTTTAAATTATTTTATCAAAAGATTTCACTTATCAAAACCCCCTTAATTTAACCCAAAATGAGTCCAGTTCTTATCTCTCAACTTCACATCACATTTTAGCCATCTAAGAACTTAAACAAGTTATAAATGACCTTAAACCACTTACCAAAATTCAGATACCACTCCAAACTCGTTGCTCTAGAAATTGGCCTACTGGTACCCCTAAATTGGACCACAAAACAGTACAATAACCTCCTCTTTCACTAATATCTACCTTACAACAGTTTTTCATTTAATGCCACTTCCAATTCATCCTGGAATAAGTACATAACAGTCACACACTACCAATCATATAAATATCACACCATCAATTATCAAAATCTACATTTCCTCAAATTTTAACTTACCTAAACTGTCATATATAATTAGGTTTCATCAACCACTCATTCAAACAATTTGATAAGAATTTCACACCATACAAACACATCAAAACAGATTATCAATTTCTACATTCTATAAAAACAACCAAAATTAGCTTCCCTTATCGATTAAATGATCAAACAATCCTAAATGAACCTAAAACCACTTCCTCGACTCAAAGAATTTTATCTGTACTTACAAATTACGGAAACATGATCAGGGTACACGATTAGAACCACTAATCAACAGAGAATCTAAAAAAAAACTTAAATGACACATACAGTGTGAAAAACATGAAAGTTAGAGAAAAAAAATATAAACTAACTCACTCTTTTGCAATAACTACTCGGCTAAACTAAAAGGTCTTGCTATAATGATCCCTTTAACACCTATGATATTTTCACCCAGTAGGTAAAACAACTATAGAAAAACAAAAGCTCCAAAAAAATTATTTTTAAAAAAATGATATGATTAAAAATAATGAAACTCATCTCATAAAACTTTTAGTTATACTTTAAATTTTTAATATTAAAATATTCGAACATTCATTCATTCTTGAAAATGGAGTACTGCTTTATTAAATTTTCTTCTAGGATATAATTTTATTATGAATATTTTTTTACTTGATAATTATGTTAAAAATTGTGTATGATACTATTCTTTTTTTTTCTTGTTTAAAATTCTGACATTAAAAAAAACGTTTATTTTAAAATGATTAACTATTTTATAAAATGACATCTTTTAAAATCAACTTAGTCCTATTTCACCGTTTAAATTTGTTTTAATTAATTATAAACATCGTCATAGTTTTAAATATTGAAAGAGTTATAAGATCTAACCATCTTGAATTTTGACGACTGCAAACTTTTAATAGGAGTACCTGACTTATCATATGTCCAAAATTTGGAGAAACTTTCATTTAAAGGGTTACAGTTCACGATTCAGTTGATTTTCTGACCAAACTTAAATATTAAGTGCTGAAGGCTGCGAGAAGCTTAGGAGATTTCCACTCTCAACTTGCCCTGTCCTGAAATTCTTGAACTTTCTTTTGTTTCAGTCTTGAGAAATTTCCAGAATTATTAAGAAAGATGGGAAACATTTGGACTTAGAAATATCCTCTTAGAAGTATATTAGTATAATTTATAAAAATATAATTAAATTAAGATAGAATATTACTTTTAATAATGTTTTTATACAATATTAATTTTAGAGGTAAATGTTATTTATGTATAAACCGTTTTCACATTTATTTTATTAATTACAAATTATTGTTTTTTTTATATTAATTATAATTGAATCTTAAATATCTCTCTTCTACCTATAAATATCTCTCTTTTACCTATAAATAACCCTATTGAAGTGTTATGCCTTCTTCTTGGGAGAGGAACACATTATACTGTGTCTTGCCCCCAAGACATTTTTTCTCTAAGGACAGCCTTGAGTGTCTCAATCCAGCCTTGAATGTCTCAATCCGGACTCTTTTAGTTTTCTTTCATTTATCTATTGTGTTTGACTCTAATCTCTTTTTATCCATATATATGTCTTGTCTTTTATCTACTGTGTGGCTATTGTTTGCATTGACCAAGTGAGAAACCAGGAAGACCGAAACTGACGATATTTTCTACAGGAATTTCCAAATCACTTGACTCTGCATTACCTACATTTCACTCTTGGAATTTCAGGTTTATTTAAAGCTTGATTCCATTTACAGTCCCAACACGCTAACAATTATCACTCCAGACTTCGTTCTAATGGCAACTCCAAGTTTCCGTAGATTCACATACGATGTGTTCCTCAGCTTTAGAGGGGAAGACACTCGTTATGGTTTCACTGGTAATCTCTACAAAGCTCTCTGTGACAGGGGACTTCACACTTTCATGGATGATGACAAACTTCAAAGCGGAGAGGAAATCACACCAGCACTTCAGAAAGCAATTGAAGAGTCTAGGATTGCCATCATTGTGCTCTCTCACAACTATGCTTCTTCCTCCTTCTGCTTGGATGAACTTGCAACCATCCTTCACTGCCAGAGTAAAGGGTTGTTGGTTATACCAGTGTTTTATAAGGTGGATCCTTCTAATGTCAGACATCAGAAAGATAGCTATCAAGAAGCATTGGCTAAGCATCAAAAGAGGTTCAAAGGGCAGAAGGAGAAGTTACATAAATGGAAGATGGCCCTGCATCAAGTTGCTGACTTCTCTGGCTATCATTTCAAAGATGGGTACCCACCTTACCAATCTTTTTATTTTATTGAAAATTAGTCTACGTATCAAGACATGGATACAATGCTTCTAGTTTAACTTAATTAAACTTTAATGTTTGGAACAGGGATGCATACCAGTACGAGTTTATTGGGAGAATTGTTGAACGGGTTTCTAGGGTGATTAATCATGCTCGTTTACATGTTGCGGATTACCCAGTTGGCCTACTGTCACAGGTGCTGAAAGTCAAGAAACTTTTGGATGTTGGATCGGATGATGTTGTCCACATGATAGGGATCCATGGAATGGGTGGGTTAGGAAAAACAACACTTTCTCTAGCAGTTTATAATTTGATTGCTGATGATTTTGATAGTTCATGTTTTCTTCATAATGTAAGAGAAGAATCAAATAAACATGGGTTAAAACTGTAGAAATCGAATTGGGAGGTATAATACCAATTTGTATTATCCGGGAAATATACTCTTCATTATGTATATATATAAATTTTCTGGACAAACTATCCAGAACATACAAATACAAACACAACACATTAATCTCTCAAACTCACAACATACAACTCACAACACACAACCCATTTTCACTCTTTCTCTCACACAATACACAAACATGGAGACTCTCTCCTTTCTCACTGCCCATTCTCCACGGTGCACACACTTGTAGTGTGTCACCCGACCACACCTTCCCTTCTATGTTCTTTCTTCTCGGTGGTGGGTATTTTACAACCACTTCTTCAATCACTTTTATAAGTGAGTTGCACACAAAAAGCCAAATAGTGGTTAGTGAAGTGGATGGCTACTTTCGGTGTAGTGTGGTAGTTACAATCATCACAAACAAACAAATAAAACCGTGTGGACCCTTTTAAAGTTTACCCAACAAAACTCCCCCGTAAACTTTAAATTGGTCTTCTTACACTATATCCCATCATCTCGATTTTTTTCTTTTCTCCCAGATCTTCTGCTCCCTGTTCTCGATCTCTTCTCCCTGGATCGTCTAGGTCTTGAGTGTTCTGAATTCCTCCTCTTCAAATCAAACTTTTCCCGAAGCATTCGATCTAGTGGCTCAAATCTCCGCTGCTGGTGCGTCTCTAGAACCCGATCAACCTCTTTACCCAAGAGCTTTGATAGGTCCTTCCACTCCTCGATGACGCACACAAAACTTTCGAAATCATTCGTTCATGATTTCAAACTCTTCTCCACAACTCGGCTGACAGGCAGCGACTCTCCATTTCTGCCGAGTTGATCTGCCACTTTCTCCTTCAAATTTTCAAACTTCGTCTTGCCTAACACAGTTGTCCCCTGCACGCGTCTATTGAAGATGCCTCCTTTGCTATCTTCTCACCGCTGGACTTCTCTGTCCTTCACTCGCGTCTCTTGAAGATGCCTCCTTTGCTATCTTCTCACCGCTGGACTCCTCCTTCACAGGCGTCCTTTTCAACTCAACAATATGGGTCACAGATTTGCTCTTCCTTCTCTGTGGGTACTCGTTTCCCACAATCCACAACATCCCAAACACCGGGATCCAACAAAAGCTTTCATCTGCAGACTCCAATCACCATAGTCGACACACTCTGTCAACTTAATTAAGGACACTGTTAGCAAGATTAGTCATCTCTTAATCTCTCTATTTTTTCGAATACTCAAACTCTCTCTCTTTTTCACTATCCTTTTTTTTCGGACACTCAAAGTTCTCCCAATTAAATCAGCTACATTTTTTTTAACCCACAAGAATGAATTCTCAGCACCTCTCGGCTCTCCTTCCCTTGTGCACACTGCCTTTCAAAATGAAAGATGGATCCTTTTTTCTTTGGCCGTTCTCATGTGCATGTTTTTTTTAAAGATTTTTTTTTATATAACTTTCTTGAATCCATCTTTTGTAGTGCTCCTGGACGCATGCTAAAAATAAGGGGTGGCCCTCCACTTTTCTCAAAAGCTACATCTTTATTCTTTTGTCCTTCTCTTCCACATTTTCCAAAACACATGGAGAGGCCCTCCATTTCTTATTGCTCCTTTCAAATGAATCTAAGTGAAACCCTCTCTCACGGGCTTCCTCTTCACCTCACGGCCCCCTCTTTTATTCCCACACGGCTTTCCACTTCAAGTAAGGTATACACCCTTAAACAATGGGACCCATGCCTTCTTCTTTTCTTCAATGGCCACGACCGAGAGCTATGCTCTCCTTCTTTGCTTGCTGCCGTGTGCACTTCTAAAACGCTGTTGCTTCTTCTTTTCCCTGCTGTTTGGTGGCTGCTCCAATACGTTCCAGCCCCCTCTCTTTGCACACCAACACACCAACTCTCTTGGCTGCTGGACTTCATGTGCGGAAGACGCCATCAACACGTTAGCCTCCAACGTCGCTGTCGCCCGCTCCAGCCCCGGAACCAGCTTGCTCGCCTTCTCCATCTTCGGCACCAACTCCTGCGGAAACGCCTTCGCCACTTCCAGCGTCTCCCCCGGCACCTGCGGGAGACACTCCAGCTGGCTCGCCTGTGGACGCGCCGTCATCTGCTCCGCCAGAGTCTTCCATCATTGCCGCCACCGGCACAGGTACCACGCACGCCAGCTTCTCCTCCGTCTCTCTCCGTACGCGCTGCCAGCTTCTGCTGGAACGCTTCTTCGTGGGCTGTGACCGTGTGCAACTCCAAAGCTGTTGTGTGCTTCCCAAGGTTGGACGTGAACCCGCTGGACGTCACAGTTCTCCTCTCTGCTTTCACGTTCCCGTGCACACCTCCAGCCCGTGACATGCTGCTACCTGTAGCTGGACACCGTCTGAAGACATCCTCCGTCCGTGGCTCTGATACCAATTTGTAGAAATCGAATTGGGAGGTATAATACCAATTTGTATTATCCGGGAAATATACTCTTCATTATGTATATATATAAATTTTCTGGACAAACTATCCAGAACATACAAATACAAACACAACACATTAATCTCTCAAACTCACAACATACAACTCACAACACACAACCCATTTTCACTCTTTCTCTCACACAATACACAAACATGGAGACTCTCTCCTTTCTCACTGCCCATTCTCCACGGTGCACACACTTGTAGTGTGTCACCCGACCACACCTTCCCTTCTATGTTCTTTCTTCTCGGTGGTGGGTATTTTACAACCACTTCTTCAATCACTTTTATAAGTGAGTTGCACACAAAAAGCCAAATAGTGGTTAGTGAAGTGGATGGCTACTTTCGGTGTAGTGGTATTTACAATCATCACAAACAAACAAATAAAACCGTGTGGACCCTTTTAAAGTTTACCCAACAAAAACACCTCCAGACCGTCCTTCTTTCTGAACTACTTGGAGAGAAGGACATCAACTTAGCAAGTGTGCAAAGAGGAATTTCAGTGATACAACAAAGGCTTGGTAGAAAGAAAGTTCTCTTGATTCTAGACGATGTTGACAACAGAAAGCAGTTACAGGCATTTGCTGGAAGATCTGATTGGTTTGCTCCTGGCAGCAGAGTTATCGTTACCACTCGGGACGAACAGCTGCTAAAATGTCATGAGATTGAAAGAACTTATGAGGTGAAGGAATTGAATAAGAATGATTCTCTTCAATTGCTTATATGGAATGCTTTCAAAAGGGAAAAGGTCGATCCAAGTTACAAGGACGTGTTGAAACGTGTAGTGACTTATGCTTCTGGTCTTCCATTGGCTTTAGAAGTAATAGGTTCCAACTTGGTTGGAAAAAGTGTAGAAGAATGGGAGTCTGCGATTGAACATTACAAAAGAATTCCAAACGGTGAAATTATAGAGATACTTAAAGTAAGCTTTGATGCTTTGGGGGAAGAAGAAAAGAATGTCTTTCTTGACATCGCCTGTTGCTTGAAAGGAAGTAGTTTGAAAGAAGTTGAACAAATACTTGGTGTTCTTTATGATAACAACATGAAACATCACATTGGGGTGTTGGTGAAAAAATCTCTCATAAAGGTTGGGCGTGAAAGGTTTAATGTAATTGAAATGCACGACTTGATTGAGGACATGGGTAGACAAATTGACCTGCAAAAGTCACCCAAAGAGGTAGGGAAGCGCAGGAGATTATGGTTAGGGAAAGATATCATTCATGTTTTAAAAGACAACAAGGTAAGTAAGTTTCATCGATGATTTAATATTTTTATCATAGTATTTTTTTTTCTCTTAACAAATTGCAAAGTTCTTTTAACACGGGAATTTTTTGATTCGTGAATGTGAGTTTTGCATTAACAGGGAACTAGCGAAACTGAAATCATATGCCTGGATTTGTCTATATCTGAAAAAGAAGAAACGATAGAATGGAATGCCAACGCCTTCAGAAGGATGAAAAACCTTAAAATACTTATCATTAGAAATGGTAAATTTTTCAAAGGTCCCAATTATTTTCCGGAAAGTTTGAGAGTACTGGAATGGCATGGATACCCTTCAAATTGTTTACCATCAAATTTTGATCCGAACAAGCTTGTGACATGCAAGTTACCTCACAGTTATTTTACGTCATTTGGATTCCTTGGCTCATCAAAGGCAAGCTTAAACAGTGTTTTCCTCATCTTGTAAATCATTAAAAACAACATAAATATCTTAACTTTTTTTCTTTTTATTTTCTTTGCAGAAGTTCGAGAATCTAACGGTCTTGAATTTTGACCGGTGCAAATTTTTAACACAGACACCCGATATGTCTGATCTCGGAAATTTAGAGGAAGTTTCATTTAAAGATTGTGAGAGTTTAGTTGAAGTTCACGACTCAGTTGGTTTTATGAGTAAACTTAAAATATTGAATGCGGAAGGTTGCATCAAGCTTATGAGTTTTCCACCTCTCAACTTGCCCACTCTTGAAAGACTAGAACTTTCATNATCCTTCTAATGTCAGACATCAGAAAGATAGCTATCAAGAAGCATTGGCTAAGCATCAAAAGAGGTTCAAAGGGCAGAAGGAGAAGTTACATAAATGGAAGATGGCCCTGCATCAAGTTGCTGACTTCTCTGGCTATCATTTCAAAGATGGGTACCCACCTTACCAATCTTTTTATTTTATTGAAAATTAGTCTACGTATCAAGACATGGATACAATGCTTCTAGTTTAACTTAATTAAACTTTAATGTTTGGAACAGGGATGCATACCAGTACGAGTTTATTGGGAGAATTGTTGAACGGGTTTCTAGGGTGATTAATCATGCTCGTTTACATGTTGCGGATTACCCAGTTGGCCTACTGTCACAGGTGCTGAAAGTCAAGAAACTTTTGGATGTTGGATCGGATGATGTTGTCCACATGATAGGGATCCATGGAATGGGTGGGTTAGGAAAAACAACACTTTCTCTAGCAGTTTATAATTTGATTGCTGATGATTTTGATAGTTCATGTTTTCTTCATAATGTAAGAGAAGAATCAAATAAACATGGGTTAAAACACCTCCAGACCGTCCTTCTTTCAGAAATACTTGGGGAGAAGGACATCAACTTAGCAAGTGTGCAAAGAGGAATTTCAGTGATACAGCAAAGACTTCGTAGAAAGAAAGTTCTCTTGATTCTAGATGATGTTGACAACAGAAAGCAGTTACAAGCATTTGCTGGAAGATCTGATTGGTTTGGTCCCGGCAGCAGGGTTATCATTACCACTCGAGACAAACAGCTGCTAAAATCTCATGAGATTGAAAGAACTTATGTGGTGAAGGAATTGAATAAGAATGATTCTCTTCAATTGCTTGTATGGAATGCTTTCAAAAGGGAAAAAGTTGATCCAAGATACGAGGACGTGTTGAAACGTGTAGTAACTTATGCTTCTGGTCTTCCATTGGCTATAGAAGTAATAGGTTCCAACTTGGTTGGAAAAAGTGTAGAAGAATGGGAGTCTGCGATTGAACATTACAAAAGAATTCCTAACGGTCAAATTCTAGAGATACTTAAAGTAAGTTTTGATGCTTTGGGGAAAGAAGAAAAATATGTCTTTCTTGACATCGCCTGTTGCTTCAAAGGAAGTAGTTTGAAAGAAGTTGAACGTATACTTGGTGTTCTTTATGATAACAACATGAAACATCATATTGGAGTGTTGGTGGAAAAATCTCTCATAAAGGTTGGGCGTGGATGGTTTGATGTAATTGAAATGCACGACTTGATTGAGGACATGGGTAGACAAATTGACCTGCAAAAGTCGCCCACAGAGCCAGGGAAGCGCAGGAGATTATGGTTAGGGAAAGATATCATTCATGTGTTAAAAGACAACAAGGTAAGTAAGCTTCTTCGACCACTGATATGCTTTCTTAACTTGATTTAATATTTTTATATCATCTGTTCACATCATAATAATTTTTTTCTCTTAACAATTTCCCAGTTCTCTTAACACGTGAATTTTTTTGATTCGTGAATGTGAGTTTTGCATTAACAGGGAACTAGAGAAACTGAAATCATATGCCTGGATTTGTCTATATCTGAGAAAGAAGAGACGCTAGAATGGAATACCAACGCCTTCATAAGGATGAAAAACCTTAAAATACTGATCATTAGAAATGGTAAATTTTCCAAAGGTCCCAATATTTTCCGGAAAGTTTGAGAGTATTGGAGTGGCATGGATACCCTTCAAATTGTTTACCATCAAATTTTGATCCGAACAAACTTGTGACGTGCAAGTTACTTCACAGTCATTTTACGTCATTTGGATTCCTTGGATCATCAAAGGTAAGCTTGAAAAATGTTTTCCTCATCTTGTAAATTATTAAAAACAACATAAATATCTTAACTTTTTTTCTCTTTATTTTCTTTGCAGAAGTTCGAAAATCTAACTGTCTTGAATTTTGACTGGTGCATATTTTTAACACAGACACCCGATATGTCTGATCTCGGAAATTTGGAGGAAGTTTCATTTAAAGGCTGTGAGAGTTTAGTTGAAGTTCACGACTCAGTTGGTTTTATGAATAAACTGAAAATATTGAATGCGGAAGGATGCATCAAGCTTATGAGTTTTCCACCTCTCAACTTGCCTACTCTTGAAAGACTAGAACTTTCATTTTGTTTCAGTCTTGAGAAATTTCCAGAAATACTAGGAAAGATGGGAAACATAAGGGTACTTCAATTGCAAGATCTTCCCATTAAAGAATTGCCACTGTCGTTTCAAAATCTTGATGGACTCGAAGAGTTATCCTTGTCATGTGAAAATGTTCACTTTTCAAGTAGCATTGCCACGATGCCTAAATTGTTTCGTTTTAGTGTTACTAATTGCAGGGGGTGGCAATGGGTAAAATCAGAAGATGCTGAAGATAACTTTGGCTCAATGGTTCCTTCAAAGGTAGAATGGTTTGCCGCCTGGTCTTGCAACCTGGATGATGATTTCTTTTCAGGAGGTTTGATGCGGTTGGCACATGTGCGTTGTTTATTTCTACGGGACAATAATTTCAAACACCTTCCTGAATGCATCAAAGAATTTCACAACCTCTGGGCTCTTGATGTGAGTCATTGCAAACATCTTGAGGAAATCAGAGGGTTTCCACCAAAATTAGAACATTTCAAGGCAATAAACTGTATATCCTTGACTTCCTCCAGCTTAAGCATGTTGCTAAATAAGGTTTTATCTTGCTTTTGAATTTTATGATTGATAATACATAGTGCTCTTAATGTTGGTAAGCTAATGAGTTCTTTATGAATTATGGATGACTAACAGGAACTGCATGAAGCTAGAAAAACTGAGTTCTGGTTTCCAGGAGCAAGTTTTCCAGAGTGGTTTGATCTGAAGAGCAGTGGACCTTCATGTTCTTTCTGGTTTCGTAACAAGTTTCCTGCCAGAGTTCTTTCTCTTCTTATTGCACCTGTGGGTGATGATGAAGATGGGTTTAGTTTGATT